CAATTTTGACGATATAGAGAGGGTTTCTGTATATATATAATACTGTCTTGTCTGTAAAAATATTTCTACAATCTTTGCACACTAAGTCCATATGTTATGTAACTACAAAGGCGACGATATTAGATTAGAGTTAGAAAACCTCATCACGGTAACACAGTAATAAAAAAAATCATAATTCTAAGTAACATAACATAACATCACGCCTTTTATCCTCGAAAGGGTAGGCAGAGGTGCACATTATACCACTGTGCAATATAACACCCACTTTTCACTATTTATGTTATGAGTCCCATGTAATAGGGGGTGAGCCTATTGCCATATACCGGGCACAATTCCAGACTCCGTGCTACTACTGAGAATATTTAAAAACCCAGTAATACTTTGTCCGACCCGGGAATCGAACCCGAGACCCCTTGCCCGGCAGTCGCACTTACGACCACTCGGCCAAAGAGGCAGTAATTCTAAGTAGTTCCATAGATTCGTTCAAAGCATGCCAGCAAATTCTGAAATAAACTCATCCTTTGTTGAACTCAATTTTAACAAAACACTGACTAAATAAACTTCTTTAGAGAAAGCTTGTTGATACGAAAAATCAGACAACTTGCCACAACATCGCTTAATAGAACGTACATAAATAAATACAAAAACCATCCTTGTGAGATAGTCCACCGCTCTTTGTGAAAGAACCCCGCTACAGATAGGGCTTTGGCCACGCAAGATCGGATAACATTGGGGAGCGACGCCCAACTAATAGCGGATTTATACTCCTATCCCATTACTGTGTTAACAACGAGCTAAAGGATCTTACTTTATATAAAAGAAAATTGTGTACACTAAATAAACCAAGTCCTTGGAAGGTATGTACATGAATTTTCGCATTCTAAAAGTAACCCCAGGAAACCGGAACGCGCCACTCGACCTCACTTAAAAAACATCTAGACCAAAAAAATATCACAATTATACAACGTAGTTTCTCATATTCCAATTAACAAATGTTATGTTTATTAACACTCGACCTCGTTACTCCGTGTAGAACGCACGTATGTGTGAAGAAATAAAGTTGAAATGTAAAATATTGAGGGAAGTTTGTTGGCGCCCAACGTGGGCCCCGCTACCAATTGCAAATGTACCCTCGCATCAGTGCTTTTATAGCTTTGAGAATGCACAGAACTCAAAAAGTTGAGTTTGAAAACAATCTTCGTTTAATTCACGAGTTTCCGGGCACATTTTATGAGTGTAGCGAGTTGTTCGTGGATGCAGTTTTAGAGTTTATGGTGACATAGTATTATGGGAGTTATTTTGTAGCTATGACATAGAAATGTAATTTTATTAGCATGGTGTAGAATATAACTAACCTATTTATTGTAGTATTCCCGACAAATATTATCCTGTTAAGTTGTTTAGTAAGAACCACCTTATTATATCCTAGACCAAATAACATCACGGCTTTTATCCCCAAAGGTGTAGACAGAGGTGTATTACGGCACTTAATGCCACTGTATAATGTAGCACCCACTTTTCACTATATATGTTATGAGTCCTATGTAACAGAGGGTGAACTTATTGCCATATACCGGGCTCAATTCCAGACTCCGCGCTACTACTGAGATTTTTATCTTAAACCCAGTAATACCCGGCAGTCGCACTTGCAATTGGCCAACGAGGCAGTCTAACTAAATAATAACAGATTTTATTCTTACCATCGAGACAATAATAAGTTTACCTCATAACGTTACCTACTAAATACTAATTAACAATATTCTACATACTGCGTTGAAATTAGGAATAGAGATGGGAATTAATTTTGTTGCTATAATTGGTATTCATACATATATCAGACTAATTACAGTGATTATTTCAAGAGGAGGTTACATCACTATTTTGTAAGCATTCACGTAATTAATAAATAAAGAACACGTTTTTGTAATTGGTACTAGATATTAATAGTAATGGGGTCTCGGGTTCGATTCCCGGGTCGGGCAAAGTATTACTGGGTTTTAAACAAAATCTCAATAGTAGCACGGAGTCTGGAATTGTGCCCGGTATATGGCAATAGGCTCACCCCCTATTACATGGGACTCATAGCATAAATAGTGAAAAGTGGATGTTACATTGTACAGTGGCATTAAGTGCCATAATATGCACCTCTGCCTACCCCTTCGGGGATAAAAGGCGTGATGTTATGTTATGTAATTTTGATACGCAATATAAACTGATTTTCGATTTTCGTATAATTAACATTTTCATTTCAGTTTAATATTATAAGTTATTTATTTATGTTTTAATAACTAAATGCCCAGATTCTTATTAGTTACGAATGCGTCTTTGACTTAATCAGATTAATTCTAGGTTATATCCAAGGTCACTTTAGGTTTTATATATTTTCAAAATATAAAATAGTAACATGGAATCTGAAATTGTATCGTAATTATGGCTTTGCTTTCATTGTTTTTTTATAGACCCACTCGTAGTTCAGCGCGCTAAGGCGGTTGACTATCTAATCGGACGAACTGCCTTTCGTTTCCTACGACAATTATATAGTTGTGTAATCATACCCGTAATCATACGTAGTATGTACTAAGCCTTCAGCCTATAGCGGTATGATTTAAAAAAAACCTGTCAAGTAATAATGTGATTCACATTTCATTACAATCTACATAATCTAAATAAGCACAGTACTATACATACATCATACTGCCTCGTTGGCCGAGTGGTCGCAAGTGCGACTGCCGGGCAAGGGGTCTCGGGTTCGATTCCCGAGTCGGGCAAAGTATTACTGGATTTTTAAAAATCCTCAGTAGTAGCACGGAGTCTGGAATTGTGCCCGGTATATGGCAATGAGCTCACCCCCTATTACATGGGGCTCGTAACAAATAGTGAAAAGTGTGTGTTACATTGTACAGTGGCATAATGTGCACCTCTGCCTACCCCTTCGGGGATAAAAGGCGTGATGTTACGTTACGTATACATACATATACATAATTCGATGACCTAGATCCCTGTTCAAATATGTTCAATTAAGCTAGACGTACCGCCTCGTGGTCTACACCTCGGAGATTTCTCTTGATTAATCTGTAGGAGGCTGTTAGCTTAATACGACTCTGTACTATTTACATACGATCCTTTGCCGAGTGGCGCCACCTATGGCGTGTGTGTGTAACTAATAGATGGGAATATTTGATATGTGGGTATTTATTTTAGTTATTGATTGATTGATTGGTTCAGTTCTGATGTCGAGTTTTATGTTCGATTTCCGAATATTTATTAATTTATTATTATATTTATATTTATTATATCGGTTGGCGTGATGGCTGGGCAACTGGCTGCCGCGCAACGTGGCGTGGGTTCAATTCCATTTTATCATCACTTCTGCTTGCCTCCAAAACAAACATAAGATATCTCTAAACTACAAATTAATCGCTCAATCACATCAAACTTCCTTTGCCCATGAACCATACTCCTTACAACCATATAACCACAACACATATAACCTTAACACGAATGGTAACCAAACATTCTCCTTTAAAGTTAACTGGACCAGGTAATAGTGGAATCCTCGCGAATTCCAAGATTAATCTGAAAATTCAGTAGACCCTTGATAATACCACTATTTGTAAGGGTTTACGACAGGGCCCTTCCAGGACAGGCATTGAAGAAACCCGGTAACAAAGGGAAAAGGTTTTACTGGCCTCTTTGAAGGTTACAAGGTTATATGTTTCGTTGTGTATGGGTTTTGTAATTATTTGATATGGGGTTTAACTCGTCAAGTACCGTATTTATAGACACAATTATAGAACAATAGGTTGCGGTCACCGGTGACCGCTTGGTGTTTGACAGTTTAAATTTAGTATCATGGCTGTAATTACATACATCCGTGTTTTGACGATTGATATTGCAAATAATACGGTTCATCGATGATGGTTAGTGTATTTACTACTAGGATGTTTTTAATACAGTGGCTTCGCCCGCGTTATTCCACCATAATCTACCAACTGTTCCAAATTTCATCGCGGTCCCTTCAGCTGTTTAGACGTACGTGAAGAAGTAGCGAACACAAACATACAAATGATTATTAAATTTATCAAAATTATTATTTCTTTTATTTACTTTTTGTTTTTAATTGTTTTTTTTTAGTTGATTTTTACTTTATTTGTGTAACACACTGTGTCACGGTGTCATTATTTCTTTTCCTGCACACAGGAAGAAAATCCAGTTGGAATATGGACCTATGTACCTTGTTTTTATATATGTGTTGTCCTTCGACATAGTAGTTATTTACCTAAATAGAGTGTGAAACCAATCCGAACACACATTCCGTACCCAAATGATAAAGTTTCTCAGCATACAAATTACATTGGGAGCACGTACAAAAACGAAGCCGTGGTTCAACTATTAGGTTTATATTTTTCTATTAAAAACCTAATTGGTAATCTGAAGGGACTTTAATAGTATTTAGGCTTAAAGTCTTCGAAACAACCAAAGTTAATTGAACTAAGATGATTAAGAAAGTAGCCCTTGATATTTTAAGCTCTTAGTCGAAATGTTTCTAAACATTATTTGTTAGCCTGTAGCTATAATATAACACTAAATTGGATTTAGAAATTAATCCCTGAGAATTCATTAGATACGAGATTAGAATCCAAACAAATTGGAAATTAAATGCTATTGTACCTACTATTGCGCCGCCGCTAGGTGGCGCTGCACCGAACAAGACGTAAAAGTAGACGCGCCGCATTTAAATTTCTTTTAAAAATAATAGTAGTGCATAAAAGTTAATGAAGACCAATTACCTCGACAAATTAACAACTAATTACCAAGTGCAAGTGTTATCCAAGAGTAAAACTCATAAATAGTGTAGTTATAACGACATAAACTCGTTATTCATAGCCGGCTTAAATGTCAAGAAATAAATTTAATTTTGTATACAAACTTAAAATTGTGTTTAAAATAAGTTATAAATAACCAAAACTAATAACAATAACAATTAAAATGTGTGTAAAAGTGCATAAAAGTGATTTGAAAAATAAAAACGTCAACCGCCCAAATAGAAAATAAACAAAAAGGATATTGACCCTCAACGATATTTTCTCAAACATTTCTAAATAGTCAATAGTACTGCCTAATTTGCACTTCATTATTTAAGCACGCTTGGCGCATTGGATACGGCGCCCGGTCGGTCACTCATTAACGAGAGCGATGTGCGTTCGATCCTGACACAAGCAAAACATCTCTTTTTGTGAGTTCAAAAATTTATTATGAAATTCTTAGAATATTTAAAAATTGCATTGTAACGTAACAAAAAAGGGACGAATATAATTTGCATTCACCATCAGAACTGTAGTTTCGAAATACTTCGATAGAGGGCGAAACTTGTTCGGAAAAAAAAAGAAATTAAAAAGTTCCTTCACCTATAACTCAAACGTAAAATAACCAAGATGTCACGAATAATTAATAATAACTCGAAACTGAACAACAGTGGCCGCAAGATGTCACTAGTGGCATGTTTTAAATGCAAGAAATACGTGGATATAAAGTCAACTGTTCTATGTTCAGTATGTGCGAACAGATTTGAACTTTGTTGCGATGGCTACCCAGAACAAACATACAGATTATTAAGCGCTGAATCAAAAAAGAATTGGCGATGTAAAATGTGTGTAAAAGCAGCAACAAAGCAGAAGACCGCCGGTGCTAACGCCGCCATTATATCAAACATAACAATAAGAAAAAAACAGAAGCCATCACCGACTCCCACACTAAACAACGACGCCTCGATGATGGACTCACACGTACTTTCGGATAGTGAAACCCTCAATGAATCACATATTTCGCCTAATAAACTGTCGAAGAGCCTAGATGGAACACTATCGGACTTAATCTCATTAACAGAAACGAAAGAAACACTATTACAGTGTAAAACGAAGCTTAATATGACTGAACAAGAATTGGATAACTTGATATTAGAAAATAACAGCCTTCATAAACAAATAGAAAAACTAATCACGGAAAATAATACACTAAAATTGCTGTGCCAGTCGTCTACCCTTATGGAAAATACTCCTAACTCAATACAGAAGAGGGCATTAACACAACGGAACGCAGTATCTACGCCGGTATCATCCAAGCAAAATTCTGATTTCTTACATATATCAAACCTGGAACGAAAGATTCAAAGTCTCCAACAGCAGCTAAACACCGCGGAACAAGAAATCACTGATCTCACTCAACAAATAATATCTTTAACTCAACGTCTACGTAACAATAGTCTAAATACAGATACAATATATGGCAATGAAACCAGTACTCCGCTGTCAACACAATCGAAAATAATTTACTCACCGACCTCCTATTACGTCAAACAACCAAGTAAATCAATATATATTTTCGGTGCCCAACAATGTGTGGGACTGGCTGCAACGATTATGTCCTCACGACGGAGTACCAAGTACGACAAATACAGGATAATTGCTGAAACGAAACCAAATGCAATGACTTGCGAAATCGTAAAAAACTGCGGGCACCTTGAAATGAAACCGGGTGACAAACTTATAGTAAACGTGGGAGAAAATGATGATAATGTAAGAAACATATTGTCACAGTTAAGACATATTCTATATAAATTTCATGATAATACCATTATAGTGTTGGGTGTTGCAAAAAACTATTATCTAGATACTATTAAATTAAATAAAGCTATAAAAAATATATGTGCTAAATATAAAAATTGTAATTTTGTGAACACTAAATTCAACAACTTGTATAACATTAGTGCTTCAATCAATTATTTGGTGGATTATAGTGATTATAGTGCAAAATATCTTAACCCTAAAGCTCTTAGACAACTAATGTGTAACAAACCAAGCAACAAACCAAATACTGGCGCATGTGAACCAAAAAAAGGTACCATTCCTTATTATTTTAACCGCCTTCAAAATGTAAATATACACCAATCAAATACCAATGTACAAGCACCTGAAAAAAATAAGAGTAAGGGAACTATACCCTTCTACTTCCCTATAATAAAAAGAAATAACACGTTTTTTCGGAACTAATGCACTTTTTGCTGACACCTCTCCTAGATTAGTATTTAGAATATTACACCAAAACATAGCCAGCCTACTATCTAAGCAAGAACTCCTTGAAATAACTTTAAAGGAGCTACAAAAGGATTTAAATGAACCTGACGTAATATGCCTCTCTGAAACTTTTATCAAAAAAGGCTATGAGTGCTACGTAAAACTTCATAGCTATACCATGGTTGATAGTTTCTGTAGGGATAAGCAAAGAGGTGGAACTTGTATTCTAGTGAAAAACACAATTATGTGCACGAAAATTCCACTTGTTAAAGAACATGCATCACAAAATACCTTTGAGGCATGTGGTATAGAGGTGCCACATAATAACTTAATAATAATCTGTATTTATAGAACTCCTCAGTCGGACCCTAGTCAATTCTTGTCAAAACTAAACAACCTTTTAAATTCTTTATTTAAAAAATACAAAACAAAAAAACGTATAGTAATAACTGGAGATTTCAATATCAACACTTTAAAAAAGAATAACATCACATCTGATTTTCAGAACTTATGCAATAACCATTACTTGAAAATACATATCGATGTGCCTACACGCAAGTTATCATGTATTGACCACATCCTGAGCAATGTATTAGGTGCGTCTGCAACAGTTCTGCCATTACATCTATCAGATCATGACACGGCCCAGTTACTTAGCTTTCCGATTAAAAACAAATCACAAAAACCTCCAATATACTATATTATTAGAAGAAATTACAGCTCCGCCAACATTCTTAAATTCAAAGAATGTCTAAGAAATCTATCATGGTCTGAAGTATACGCCGAAAATGACTCGAATACAGCGTTTAGCAAATTTCATGAGTTATTATGTTTATTTCATAAGCTCTGTTTTCCCGAAAACAAAATTAAAGTTAATATGTGCGATAAAGGGAAACAAAAGTGGATAAGTAAGGGATTAAAGCGAAGCTGTAAAATGAAAAGAAAGTTGCGGTTTCAATATTATGAAAACAAAAATACATTGAATAAAAATAAGTATTTAACCTATGCCAAAATTCTACAAAAATGTATATATAATTCTAAAAAAAATACTAATATTAAATTTATAAAAGAAAATGATAATAAGTGTAAAGCTACTTGGACAATTATTAATAACGAAATTAATAACAACACTATTAAACATAACATAGATAACATAAATATTGAAGGTAAAGTTATTACAAATCCCAAAGAAATAGCAACAACTTTTAACAACCACTACATTAATCTAGGACATGTTACGACAAACAACTACACGTATAGCAACAACAATAAAACATTAATTCCTAACTCAATATTCCTTAAACCAATGTTACCAAATGAAGTTAGACAAGAAATAATGTCTCTAAAAAATACGAACGCGGCCGGATATGATGAGCTGGGTACAAAATTAATAAAATCATGCAAGGAAGTGTTAGTTGAAGTCCTTACATATCTGATAAATTTATCATTCTCGCAAGCGATTTTCCCAACTGCGCTTAAATTATCGACCGTAAAACCATTGTTTAAAAAAGGAGAACGAAACAACATAAATAATTATCGTCCAATAACCCTGATACCTATACTGTCCAAGGTATACGAAAAATGTATGTACAAGCGTCTAGTGAATTTCTGTGACAAATACAATATCATTCAAAAGGAACAATATGGATTCCAAAAACAAAAATCTACCACTCTAGCCATTTATAGTACCATAAGCACAATTTTAACAAACTTAAACAATAATTATTTGACCACTGGCTTGTTTTTTGATCTATCAAAAGCCTTTGATCTCGTCTCACATGACATATTGCTAAACAAAATTGAAAAATGTGGGATAAGAGGTCCAACTTATCACTGGATAGCTTCATATCTTAGCGACAGACAACAATGTGTAACAATATCAAGAATTGATGAAAATATGATACTTACACCATCAATATCAGAATACAAAAATGTCAGGCGTGGTGTACCGCAAGGTAGCGTGTTGGGCCCTATTTTGTTCCTGTTGTACATAAACGATGTCGTAAATATCACCAATCATAAGTGTGTTCTTTTTGCTGACGACATATCTTTTATAGTTGCAACGCGTAAGAACGGAAACACAACAAATGACCACGCGCTTGAAGTTAATAACACAATAGATAAATTAATCGATTGGTTAGATAATAATAAATTAAAAATAAATTTGGACAAGTCAGTGTACATACAATTCAATACATCAAATACTACAAAACATAACATCAACCTAACGATACCAAAAGTTAAAAGAGTAGGTGAAACAAAATTTCTGGGCTTAATTATAGATGAAAATATGAATTGGAAGGACCACGTTGAACATGTATCTGTTAGGATAAATAAATTTGTGTATGCACTTAAGCAAATAAAAAATATCACAAACTTAAATACAGCAATAATGGCTTATCATGCACATGTAGAATCTTTGCTTCGCTATGGCCTAATAATGTGGGGATATAGCACGGATAGGGATAAGGCATTTATCGCACAAAAAAAGTGCATAAGGGCTATGTACGGTTTGCAACCTGATCAGTCATGCCAACCAATATTCAAAAGACTTGGTTTGTTACCATTACCGTCGCTTTACATTTATGAAGTATGTATGTTCGTTACAAAAAACAAACATTTATTTAAAACTGCAAATGATGTCAATCCACGAAATCGCAGAGATCCATTTAGACTTGTACTAAATGACTTTCCTAGATCAGCAAAATATAATAAGAATTGCTTGGCTATGTGTATCCGTATCTATAACAATATACCTAATGATTTGAAATGTCTTAATATAAATCTATTTAAGCGTAAATTGCACAAATGGCTTAATGAACAAAACTATTATTGTATAAGTGATTTTATGCAGAGGAAATTAACCTCACGCCTAGGATGTTAATTTTAGAACTTTTCCTGATTTTGCATGCTATATAAATATTAGCAAAACATGTTGTACTTCAACCATATTTTTGTAACACCTATTTTATACCATGTTTTAAGCAAATAAATATATTATTATTATTATTACTTACAAATGTGGGTCTATTAATCTCAAAAATAGTATCTACAGATTTATACTGAAGAACAATTTTCTCCAATAGGTTAGCATAGAAATCTGGGATAATATCTATTCAGCTTTGGTCATCAATTAACATGTTAAGGCTATGGAGGTCAGCGGTGACCGACGTTTTTGCTTTTTTTTTGCTAGGAGAGTATCATCGAATGACATCTGCGGCCTTGGGTTAGGCGAGAGGTAGTGTCAGACTCTTACTGACTAAAAACCACCTCGTTCCTACTCTTGCTATTCGAGCCGGAGCCCCGGCAACCCGTTATGTCTTCCGCGGCTCCGTATCGGGCATCAGCCCTAATAGGCCCCATCTGTGGACCGGTGACCGACGTTAGCAGAGGATTTCCCTTTAACAGTTTTTTATTGGGAGTCAAAAGCAACGTCAAAAAACATATATCAGTATAATAATAACGACATTAGAAAAGTATACACCACTCTTTACACGTCAATAAAACCAAAACGGAACAATAAAGCACTAAGCACCTTCGAAGTACAGTCAGGTTCAAACGTGACGCGAGGTACAATCACGCACGCAACTCGTCACGTCGCCCCCACCCGTCAACCCTGTAATACCACGCTTAAATAACACCTGAAACTCCACACGTGCGCGGAAACGACCGACGTATATCTACACGCTTTTAATTTAAATCCCCTAAGTGACACAGCAATGGATTTTAACTAAAGTTATGTTCGCGTAAGTATCGTTCGCTTTATGAGGGAAGTGTTCTACATTTTTGCTGCGCTTGAAGTTTTGGCACATTCAAATGCTCATTTTACGAGCAACGGACCAGAATGTTCTCGAACAAAGCCTATGGGAATTGTCAAGGCAAAATATTAGTCCAAGATAGCATAAAATTGAAAGGAGACGGCCAAACTTCGGCCTCAACACTCAGTCGTAAATTATATCTTTGGAAATCATCATGGTCTCAGTAACAAGTTAATGAGTATACATTGAAGTTGTTTACACATTTATGATTTAACTCACAGAATGGTTGGCCTAATACACTGCCATTATAGCAGAGTTCATGAATTATGCCCGATGTATGTCTCCCTGTAGTACAATAAACACGATGCTTACACAATAGCTAAAGGTCACACTACAATCTTACGTCACAGATAAAATAAAACTTTCATCAGCAACAAGCAAATAATGTAATCGCACCCCCCGCATAAATACTTGCGAATGGCCGATTGTCCTTACTATCGAGCCATTCGGGCTTTGGTATAAAAATCCTTGCAATCAAAGTTTACCTCCACTTAGTACCCCAGTCACATCAATATTATATTGCATGAATTCCAGTCTTTATGTGCCACTCAGGCCGAATGTAGCGAACGGAACATTGTAAGTAACGAGTCCTTTGCCATTCGGTCCACGCAGCTAGCAATGTGCACACGGCCTAAACTATTATATTATTCAAATATGGCCGTATCGCAGGCCCTTTTGAAGTTTTAAGACGAAGGCGGATTGTGTACAGTTTGGGACAGATTGAACGAAGAATTTCTTTATCTCGCTTTTTTATGTAGTCCTCTTCTGTATTACTGAATGGATTTTTGTTGAATGTTTTTAATAACATTCGTCTTTAATTTTTGTTCGTTTATTATTAATACAGCTGAGTGAGCTTCTTTGGAAATACTCTCTTTATTTTAACTGTTATTCTAGTTCTAACATAATATTATTATTCAGGCTTCTATCAATCTGTTAACCTTTCGACTGGGACTGTGTGCCCGCGGGCCCAGACGTGATATCCCTCGTCAGATCAGCTATTTGTTATTCAAATCAAGTGCTCAAATGATGACATTGCTTTTGTGTTAGACGTTTTTGTTTGGTCTAGAAAATAGGTTCGAATAATAGCGCTATTACTATTGTACATAAAGACCATAATAGAAAAATAATATTGAAAAAGTATAAGAAGGTATTACCAACAGTTTTGGATCAAATAGAGAGCTCCTTTATCTGATTATGGGGCCACATTTACACATATCTTGGTGAAAGATTTATTGAAATTTTAGGATGTGTACAGATACTGAAACTGAACCAAACAAGTACGAATT